CATTTTATTTAGAAAATCTTTGTGTCATGGGCATTTAAAAGTCTTTCCAATAGCTGTGTTGTTTCCTTGGAAGTTGTGATTGACATGTTTTTACTATTTGCTTCTTTAGATTATTATTTTATATTTTTAATTAACATTACTTTGGGAAATTAGTTTTCACTTGGACATGAAAGAGTCTTTTAGGGGGGTAAATTCTTGTCAAAAAACCAGAATTTAATTGACCATGATTCAATTTTGTAATAAAAGGAGATCAAGGGAGTTCAATACTTTATAGTCATTGTACATAAATATATTGCACAATGTATCAAGGAGTAGTGCTTAAATGATGAAGCATAGTTGATTTGGCTAATTAATGTTAAACTGATTACAGCTTTAATTATGAAAGTCATACATCAAGTAACACGAGTCTCCAGTTGTGCCAGCAGCGCCGTACTTTGGCACAGTGGCCTGTACAAAATTTCATGGGAATTCCTCCAGTATTTGTGGAGGTTTCATTCAGAACAACTTTAAGATCTGGGCTCTGTGTTAAATTTGCACACGTTCACTCTGTAAGTCAGCTCATATAGCAGTTATAATGATCGTCAGGTGAGCTGCACTGTCACACACAATCTAGTTCTCCTTGTTTCGCCTGAGGCCACGTCACTTGCATCTTTTGATAGGTTTTGATTAGTCATTAGTTGAGCTGCAGCATGTTTGCACACATTTTCTAAAGTATGTGTAGCTGCAGGACCGTTTTCCTTTTTTTTTTTTTTTTTAAATTCCTGCAGACTCTCTGACTGACACTCTCTCTCATGCACATATGTCTCTTTTAAAGCATCTTTCCAAGTTTACATGTCTAAAAATACAACTCCTTCACGCACTTTGACTAAAGATGCATTATTCAGCGCCTCTGCAGAGTAATTAAATCTTAATCAGGGATGGGCTCCTGTCCTCGTGGAGGCGTATCCGTGTGTTTTTGTGTGTGTGTGTGTGTGTTTTTTTGTGTGTGAGTGCACCGGCCCACAGTCCACTGGAGCTGCTCGGGCTCTTAAGGTGCAAGACTATTTTAGAAGTCTTTCATTCAGTTTAGAGGTACACTTCTCCGCTAAAGTAAACAGTGCAGAGGTCGGATGAGGTGAAATTTTGGCGCTCAGATGTTGCTCCCGTTCAGTTGTCTGTGGAGATGATGTGAAGATGATTTACTCTCACCCAACTGGATCATCTCACACTCTTTAGGTTGAGTTTTTTGGCTGTTGTATTTTAAAAGCGGCTCATTATTTTCATGCTTTGTCCTGCTGTTTGACTTTTCCAACACGTGTCATCATATAAGTCTCTCTCTTGGTCCATAATAGTTTTTTCTATTGCTCTGCCGAGATGTCTGCAGCTTTAATTAGCCCTGCTTCACATAAAATGCAAAAATTAGAAACTTTGAGTGTATATCTTTCTTAACAGGACTATTGTCAGTTATAACAAATTTAAATCAGGACTGAGTAGGTAAACAAGCAAATATATTGTGATTATGAGCAGACTGACAAGCTTCAGAACACCGAGTAGCAAAACTAAATGTCTGAATATATTCATTATCTGTATAACCTTTTTTATATGAGGTTGCTATGATTAAAATTAAAAAACTTTTAGAGGTTGTCATCAATTGCAGCGCTCTGTTTGCATCAACTTGGTAATGAAAGCGTATAATTAATCCAAAAAAGTGCTCCACACTGTTTAATTATTTAAAGAAAATCAAAATGCATGCAGACAAGGGCTGCCGTTTAGCTCACCTGGTTGAGCTGGCGACCCACGTACAGGGGCTGTAGTCCACGATACAGCGGCCATGGGTTCAAATCCTGCTCATGGCCCTTTGCTGTAACTCCTTTCCCCACTTTCCTGCCTCTCTCAACTGTCTTATCCAAAAAGGCCAAAACTTTAAAAAACCCAAATGCATGTAGACAATACATTATCACTGGCAAATTTTCAATAATACCCAACATAATAATTATGAATCTGTCATTGGGTTGAACTAAGTAGCAATGTTAAGTTGTTTGTTTCCCACAAACGTTACCCTACCAGATACGTTTTCCTCAAATATTAGTGGTTCGTGTTATTTGCATTTTTCAACTTTTTACGCTCCAAAAAATCTGTGAAGCGATTTAAAAGTAGGGGTGTAACGGTACGCAAAAATCTTGGTTTGGTATGTTTTCGATATGCAAAAACAAGAAATACATAACGTTGAACTGCTTCTTTTTCTTCTTTGCAAAATTAAGAACTGGTTTACTGAACAGAGTATGACTGTTTCTTTTAAGCCTGTCAATACTGCTGCAACTGGCTGTAACCCACTAATAACCGAGTAAAATTTGCAAAACAAATACGCCAAAATAAGTAATGATAATAAATGAAAATGTACAGTATTCTGCAGTCATTCAGAACAGGTTGGCGGCGGCCTCCTTCCATCTCACGAGACGATGCACCATGTTCAGTCACTCGCACACTTCTTGGCGTCACTAAACAAGCCAATGTGGGAGTGGCAGTCTTTTTGACATAAAGATGTGTACGGAGGCTTCTTGATCTTGTTGGGAAGACTTGCGTGTTTCCCTCTTTCGCCTTAGATGGGCACACATACTGAAAATTTGTGGTACAAATATGTGTCCTGTTACACCTCCTCTATAAAGGTTTACCAACTACTGTTCACATGAAGAAAAAAATAAATGTACTACTCCAAAGTTTCATTGAGATTCAGTGATTTGTGGATAGCTCTTGTGTAGGAGTTTCCCACCTGCATACATTTAGTAGTCGGTTACGTCACTGTCACCTGCTGCAGAGTGGAGCAAAAATAAATTGTTTTTAAATCTGTCACAGTTAGTATTTACTGGGGTGACGTCACTTGTGTTGTGCTCAAACTGAGTCATCACGCTCCGTCGGGCCTGCCTAGAGGTTTGTAACGTGCTGTGATGAATTCAAGTTGCTTTGCTCGTTGTCTTAATTTAAAGAAGCCTTTTGTAGAGTGTACAGTTTCCTCTTACTTTGATCACAGCGGTCTCCTTCAGCCTTGTTCTTGGTGCGACTGAAATGATATGACCTTAAATACATACTACATGTGTCGCCTCCTGTCCTGCACCTTCGCTGGTTTGTGCTGACATCACGCCCGAGCTCGCATCTTAAACTAAGCAGAAAATGTGTTGACACTGCTCCTTTCTCCGAGGCCTTCGCTCTGCGGAATATTTGGTCTCTGGTGTAATCCCTGGTCGCTCCTGTCCTTATGAGAATGACCCTGAAGTTCAGCCTGGCTGTTACTCATTTGCAGCCGCGCGCGCACGCACACACACACACACACACACACACACACACACACACTTCACGCCCCACCACATCACATCACCACGCCAAGGTCTCCTCATCAGCAAGGACAGACTGAGCAGGTTTACTGTGCAGTAATTCAGGCATCAGCTGCTCTCCATTCATGGTTTTTGATTGCGTTGTCGAGTAATGGCCGACCGTGTGTGATAATGTGCAGCACACATGATAAGCTAGACGCTGCACTGTGCTATCAGTTGATGCAGGGTGTTGTTTATGAACCGTAATGTCCCAGACTTATCTGAGATTTTGCTCTGATTCATCAGCAGCAGCGACAGCAGCAGCAGCAGCGTGATGGGTGGAGACAGTAACACTGAGCTGTCTGATGTAATTCTTTATTTCACCATAATGGAGTGTGGTGTGGTGAAAAATAGGACTGCAACTAATAATTATTTTCATTATTGTCTAATCTAGTGGATATCCTCTCAGCTATATCAGTTTTAAAATAGCACAATTTTCCAGAGTTTAAGGCAAAATGTGCAAACATAAAGACATTCAGTTTACTACCATATACAGTAGGGCTCAACAGTTGATTGATTTCCAGTTGTGTTTTGAAACAATAAAATTAGCAGATCGCAAAGGCTGCAGTTTGGGATATGCGTTAGGGGTTTAAACTGTTGTGTCTGAGGTTTTACACATTTCATGCTGTGCTCCTCGTGGGACAGTTACTGTTCTGATGGTATCTCATGTGTTAATGCTCCATTACTGAAGTGTGCATATTGAACTGAAGTTTGAATTGTATTGTATTTAAGTCCTTATTTTTTAGTTGATGGAACTAGTAAATATGTAGCATCTTGTCTCTTCATTCTAAAAGTCTTAATTTGTATATATTTATATTTAAAACCACCTGTCTCGTATTGTGTAGGTACCGCTGTACCACCAAAACCGCCTTGAAGTCACCGGACTTCTGGGAGTGTCGTGTGATATCTTTCCTTTTAGTCCTGTGGGTTGCTGGGGGAGACTTCGGTAGATTGTTCGAGGGCGTCTTGCAATGTCCGATCAGATTGGGATCTCGGTAGTTTGGATCCCGGGTCAACATCTTGGGCTCTTTGTTGTGGTTGTGCAGTTTTTGCGGTGTGGCGCAGGGTGCATTGTCCTTCTGGGGAATGCTGCTGATGGGTGATGCATGTCAATGTAACATCCGCATGCATGCCGGCAGCCAGCAAAGCATTGCATTGATCAGTGTTATTCACCTGTTTAATATTGTGGCTGATCATTGTGCATGCATGTGCTTCATACATGTAATTATACATACATAATATAAATATGATGTAAATGAAATATTACAAGGTACTGTGCAAGTTTCTAAAGCAGCTGCAGGTGATTTTTTTTGTGGAACCTGCAATAAAGGAGCATCCTTCATGATCAGTGCTGTTGCCCAGTGACATCCAGAGCTGAGTAGAGACACTTCTCACCCACAGTGAGAATGTGATTTATTATAAATGCAGAGCAAGCACTCAAGCACTTTGACAGACATTCAGAACATCTAATCGACCTTTACTTTTCTACAGTATTAAATTCATGTAGGCATATAGGAAGTTCACCTTTTTCTGCTGTAGAGTCACTCTTTGTATCAGCTTGTAGTGCAATCAGGAGTTGAACTCCATAGGCTTTGCCACATAAGTTGAGAAGCAGCTTTTTACTGAATGGTGTATGCCCTCTCTCTCTCTCAGGTGTGGGCGCTGGGCGCTTGCCAGACTGGGTGAAGTGAGAACTAAGAGGGAAATCCGCTGAGAAAAAGACACCACCGGGGACTGCTGAGGAGGACCTCTGTGCAGGTGAGGACTGACTGGGAGGAGCACAGTTCATACCGGCAGCACACCTGAGGCAGGCCTGCGTAGATCAGCACTATATGTAGAGGATTCCCATTGAAGTTATAAAACAAGCAATTCAGTATTGTCATCCACACTACCTGGATCACCCGCAGTACAGGGCAGGCTGGGTTTTACACAGGACTACAGGGTAAACTTGTTGTAAATTTCACTTGTGATCAGAATTTGCATGTTATTTTCCTATTTCAACTACCTTTCAGACATGAGTAATTCTCTGTCAGATCAGATATGAAAAGGTACCGTCAAAACAAAAAATGAAGTCATATACCTTGAGCATAACCTGCAAAGGACTATTTTGAATTTCACGTTTGAGCTTGATTCCATCATTCAAACTAGCACACAAATGTTTTGTAGGAGGACAGGCTTTCTTCCCCCTCACTTTACTATTTCACTCGACCAAAACTAAATAAAATGAGGACATGCCATGAGAAGTTTAGGAAAAGTAATTGCAGTACTGTTGGCTCAACTTTGGCTATGTAATCATTCACCTTTTCATGAATGGGATTGTCATCTAGACCTGAAACGAACTGTGGATTAAAGCAAAATTTATCTGCAACTATTTTGATCACCACAGAATTGTGAGTTTCCTGTGCTGTGACGCTTTGTAAATAGACTTTTCCACTCTTCTGAAGTGGATTAAGGATGGCACCTTGGGCAGGACCATTTCCACTAAAAGCTCAAGCAGTTAATTTGTTAAATGAGACAAGACTTTTCTTATCCTGGCTGTCAATGCAGTCCCAGATCAGTTAATTCTCACCAGGAAATTTTCCAATCAAAAAGAAAGACTTCGACCGTGCTCATTTTTCTCTGTCATTATCTCCGTGACCCCAGAGTGATGACAAAAGAGAGAACTGCTTGGGAGGGGAATGAGAAGTGAGAGCAAAAGAGACTTAGAGGGGATATTTCTACTCAAACAAATCATATTGAAGCGAGCAGAGACTAAAGATACGGACAAGGAGATATTATTCAGGCCTTGCGGGACATCTACATACAGTATGGAAATGTGAGTGAACTTAATGTTGAGGACATGCTCCTCCTGCGTCCAGGTTCACACGGCCGTTGGCAGGGTGGAGCTTCCTGACCCATGGAGAATTATTTCCAGGCCGAGGCCTTCAACCTGGACAAGGTGCTGGACGAGTTCGAGCAGAACGAAGGTGAGGTTCTGCATAAGCTTTAACCCTTTCTGAGTTTTTTAAATTTTTTGCTCCTGTTACATTTTTACTCACTGTGGACTCATTTTTCACTGCAATATAAAGTCCTGCACCTCTATAGAAACAGCACAACCATGGCTAGATAGCAAGAGAAGTAAAAACTGTCCTTTATGCTGTATAACACAGTTATAATGCCAGAAATCACAAAAAAGAAAAAGTGGAATTTCTTTGATTTTTTTTGTTTTGCAAAAATTAAAAAACCTGGAATCAACATTGTACCCCTCAATGTTGCCATTTAAGAACACAGTGACTCTACACATTGGAGATAATAGATATTTTACAACTTACATTTTTACAACCTCTACAAATTAGGCCTTTTTTTTTTTTTTTTTACACTACTCTGCACATCAGCTCTAGAAAGATAATACTCAATGCAGAATGTGTCTTCCATCAGCTTGTTTTTCTGTATGCTGTTTTATTTATTCTTTTGTACAGAATTTGGTGCAATCACATTTTTAATTGTAGTAGAATAAAGTGTCTGAGTCAAGTATCACCATGTTAAGCCTATATTTGGTTAGTTTTCCTGATGGAGCTGCACGTTACACATGAGGGCGATTCTTCTTTGTGACTTTGATAAATGGTGTCATTTTAGTGATGTTGGGGGTTGAGAGGGTTAAAAGATGTGGACAGAAGACAGTCAAGTAGTGAGTCATTGTGCTTGAGGAAAGATGGATTTAACTAGGTGTATCTGCAGGATTGAAGTTTCTTTAGAGCCGTCATTAGAGTGCCATTATGCAACCCTTGTGAGTAAATCATCAAGGTGTCAGACAATCAGCCACCGCCCATTGAGTTTGAGTAACATTCACAGGTGGTGATTGAGGGCGGGCAGAGAGGGAATAGGACTAATTGGATTTTCCGTTTCCCTTGTGCTTTTGTAAAACTGTGTAATTGGTGCAAGACAAGAAGGTTGTCTTTTTTTTTTTTTTTCATCACGCTTAATGATCACAATAAGTAAAGAAATTGTGTTAGGGCCTGTTTGAGACAGTTGTTTCACAGAGTTTATTTATGGTAATTGTAAAGTAAACACTGCGTCACTGAGCTGTGTATCTGTAGACTCTGAGCTCTCCAGCACAAATGGTTTGCTTATTATAGAGGAAAGACCGCTCTTTTTCTAGATTTATGGCAGAAAGAAATGCAAGTCCTGCTGATTCTTACACACAGACTGTATTTTAATGGTACTGTGCTCTCAGTGTGTGTTTTGGCTGTGAGTGATTATCTGTGTCCTCTGCCAGAGATCCAGCTTGGAAGATTAACTCCATGTGCCTGAATGTGTGTGTTTGAACCTGGTGCGGCTCGTACTGAAACAGCTTAGCATGAATTCCATTGGAGGGAGGAGCACGCCCTTCAGAAGCTGACACGGCTGTGTGAGGAAGTCATTTTCTATAGATATTATAAGAAATTTCAACTCGTATTACACAGCATTCATGTGTCAGCTTGACTGATGGTTCCCAGGGGCGAGCGAGCCATTTGGCCCACTTTCTCAGAATTTCCCAGTCCATCCACACGCTAATTTCCCACTCCATGCCAACCTCATTTCTCAATTTGTCCCCTGGTTTGTTCATGCCGTTTTAAGCTCTTTCGATCACCTGGGAGTGTGTATCTTTGTATCAGTTCTCTGTGGCGGTTCATGTGAGGCTTCCTGGCCGGCTTCTCTAAGGTTCATGATCTCTTTACCAGTAGCTGCTTTCTCTGATTTTATTTTTCATGTCTGCAGTGTCACAAGAAAACTGCAAATTATACGAAAAAAAGATTTTGTATGCAGGATATAGATATAATGAAAGTGTGTCTAGTGAAATGATTAATTTACATGTAGTTGACAGATAAAATAAACTGTTAATTGTCATATTTCAAGCAAGAGTGGTGAAAAAGTGCTGCAGATCTTGTTTTAGCTTTTGAAATGCAGATTTTCTTTGTCATGAAACCAAAGAAAACATTTAAAGACATCATCTTGAGTTCCGTTAAACTAATGATCACTTGATGCTTTCTGTTTTTTCTGTGAAACAAAAAATAAAGAGGAAAAAATCATCTGCACATGAAATGGTAATGAAAAAACATATCAGTTGCAGATCTAACTGAATCAGTAGATATCTTCTCACATAAAAAGTCAAATTTTCCTGCAGTTGAGATCCACACAATCCTCAGTTTTCCTTCCTTCTTTCACCACAGATGAGACGGACACTCCCATTCTCTCAGATGCCAAGTGGACGCAGATCCTGGCCCCGCCGGCCCACATGCTCTCTCTGAACCCCGCGCTGGCCCACGCAGACCTCAGCCCTCGGGAGAGTCCCCTGCCTTTCAAGACCCTCCCCGACTCATCCTCCAGTGCCTCTCCAGGAGCCGACCCCAAAAGACACCCTGGTCCCGAACCTCCATCCTGGGTAGAGGAGAGGCCAGCAGACGTCCACAGCCCACCGCTCCCACAGCCCAACATCGGCAAACTGGTGGGCACAGACGACCTCTCGCCGCCCACTGTGACGGCCTGTAGTGCCGTTGAGAACGGCTGCCCAGGCAGCCCACAACCGGACGGCCTTAGCAAAGAAATAAGTACTCGAACAGACATCCAGCCTGGTGCTCCTGACCAGGAGGCTCAACACGAAGAGATAGCTGCCTCAGGCGGAGGAGGAGGCTCTGCTGTCACTCACACTCACTTTACCTTTGAGGTGGGATTAGGAGAGGAGCAAACTCCGTCGGAGAAAATACATCCAAATGTGGAGCACACAACACAGAATGGAGAAGGCCTTAAAGGAGAGAGCAGTACAGCTGTTTTACAGGACTTTGATTCAGAAAGGCAAACTACAAACTCAAAAGAGGACAAGGGAGAAAGTGTGAATGGGCGGAGGGATGTTCAGGTCGAGAGTGAGTTGGAGGAGAACGGTGTTTCTCCTCCTGAGAGGGCCGGAGTGGAGGAGAAGGAAAGAAGATGTGGTCCAGAGGGACAAATAGACCTCAGAATAACAAACCTTCCCAATGGTTTGGAACAGGACAGTGGAAGCAGGTCCAAGCCGAAGGAGACAGAAGAGAAGGATGAGGAGGAGGAGGAGGGCTTTTCTCCTTCTCCTGTCCCCTCCAAAGAGGACTCTGTAACTGAGGAGAAAGAAATGGAAGAGAGCAAGCAGGAGAGCAGCGATGGAGGAGCAGTGGGGTCCGGTAACGTCCAACCAAAACTCAACAACCGGCTACAGCCAGTCAGTGTTCCTTATGGAGGAGCGCGACCAAAGCAGCCGGTCAGCCTCAAACTCCAGATCCCACAGCCGCTGTCGGGCCAGGTCCAAAACCAGCTCGGCCCATCTGCTGTCAGCAAGAACAAAAACCTTGAGAACCAGTGTCGGAGAGGCACACCCTCGGAAACGTTGCCCAGTGGGCCTGATCAGAGTACAGTCAGTGTGAACGGAGACGGAGTTGTTCACTCTCCTTCCCTGATGCCCACAGAGAGCCCAGACAACGACGTCCAGGCAGGCCAGCAGGGCGCTCTGTGCAGGAAACCCGCCAGCTCCCTGGGAGAGGTTGCCCCTGTGTGGGTGCCTGACTCCCAGGCTCCTGTCTGTATGAAATGTGATGTCAAGTTCACCTTCACCAAGAGGAGGCACCACTGCAGGGCCTGCGGCAAGGTCAGTGGTGTGCTAGAGCTGCTTTAATGTGGGCCTTGTAACTAAGCTAGAAGCAGTGATTATAGCAATATGCCTTGTATTTCTGGGGTGATTTTGTTGCTTCAGGATGTTTTTTTATTTTTATTTTTTGTATTTTTTTTTTATAAATCTCCAAATAGTAGACCTTGTTCACCTTTTTTCTAGTGCAGCTACACTTAGAATCACAAGTTAAAGAATGAACATTGAAGGTTAGTTTTTAAGGTTAGCCTCTCAGACACACAAAGACCTTATTTTACAGGGATGCAGCCACAGTGACACAGAAATAAGAAGGTCAATCAAAATAAAAAGTGCCTTTTTTCAATAAAAACAGACAATACACAGGTCTAATGCACACATGAAAATCAGTATTATCAGTATGCTTCCACTGCTTCATTTCACTTGCACATTACATAAAGAAATATACATGCCCCCTTTCAGGAAGTATCATATGTAGATTTTCTTTCTCTTGAGATATCTTCTAACTCCTGAGAGTAATCTGCTGTCCAGTCATTTCTGAAGTCAAACATTTATTGCATGTAGAACACAATATTGTATTTTTGTGAGCACTCAGCCACTGATTTCGTCTTTGCTTTCTTGTAATGGCTGTGCATTGGCTTTTGGTGAATTTGAAGCTAATTAACTGGGATGCATGAATATCAATGTAATGGTCAAGCTGTGGTGGTTTAATTTTGCATTGATGAACATAGTCAGACAAAGTGAACCAATAATACAAGTGCTAACACACAAGGATGAATAAGTGGTTAATAAAAGGCAAAAAGGCGTACAAGGAGATGAGCAACATTAAAATATTCTGCAAATATTAAAATACAGCCACATGAGTGACTCTAAGAGGCTTTAGTAGACGAAGGAGGTGAATTAAATGCAGAGCTTTGATAGATTAGTTTCTATTTAGGCCTTTCTTTGCAGATAGACTCAGTTGGTGTGCCGCTAGCTTTCTAACATTATGGCCCCCACATATGTGGCATTGTGTCCGTGCAGTGCTTTAAATTGAAGATGTGGTCGCTGACACTGCACTGGAAAATCGCCGGACTGCTACTTAATTTCCCATGGTGGTAAACAAACACACACACACTGCCACTTGAGCAGGGAGGAGCTGGCACTGCAGTAATACAAACACCTGCACTGAGGCGGCAAACAATAGACGCAGCGGGATCCTCACAGTGCTTCCACCACCACAGTGGTAGATCCACAAACCAGATTATGGTGGAGCTGTGTGGCTCTGAAATTAAAAGGATCACCCACCCTCTGTCTAATCATTTACTAAATACATGTTACTGGATAATGATGTGTAATGATGTGCTAATCCATTGAAAGTAAAGTGTCTTGTACACAGCTGCAGCTCATTGAAGCGCTGGCCAAGTGCAAGAAATCAATATCCATAAAATGGCACATTTGCTGCACGTTCAATCACAACTTCTTTTCAGCTCTTCACCTTTTAACATTTTTACAGTGAAAGTATCGTGCAGTTCTTGTGCTCTGTGCTCCTTATGTGAAGGATTGTGGTGTGAATGAAATGTTTGTGTGTGTGCTATTTTTAAGGTGTTCTGCGCGACGTGCTGCAGCCTGAAGTGTCGGCTCGTGTACATGGACAGGAAGGAGGCTCGTGTTTGCGTCACCTGTCATTCTGCTCTGACGAATGGTGAGCATCATTGCAAGTAGAAAGTTGCATTTGCATATTGCATTTCTACACACAGTAAATACATAAATGTGAAAATTTGAGGAGTAAGATAAATAAATACGGGGAAAAAGGTTTAAAATAATGGCCCACAAAGGAATACTTGTACTTTTTTGCTCTTTTTTTTTGTTCCTGTCTTGATATAAATAAATTATTTTCAATAGGAAAAGTGTTGCAGCATTTTTTATTTATTTTTTTGTCAGAGTATTGTATGCAGTATGTTAATGGGGCATAGCTGCTTTATAAATAGACCATTTTCACAGCAGACATTTTGACAGTTCAGAACAGGAAAGGCACAGGTGGAATTAATAACATTAACTGTGACTGCATTTCAGTCCAGACTCACTGCAGTGACTGACTGGGCTTCTTATTGGATCACGGCCTCATTAACAAAATTAGTAACTCCTGTGTATTTTGTACTTTGACAAGTCAAAGTGGCAGCTGTAGAAAAGTCTGTTTCAGCTTGAGAGGTAAAAATACGAACACTGTGACTGACCAGTAGGAATCAATGTTTTTTTTGTCAGGGCTGATATCAATACAGATTATTGGTAATCAAGAATAAAACTATATTTGGGACTAGTATACATTCAATGTTATACATTAACGGGAGCCTTTTATTCATTATTAAGGCTTACAGTAGCTGAATATATACGATAGAATTAGGAGCGATGACGTCAGAGCACCATCTGACATTAGGATGCTCTCCTCTGTTTGATGAGAGATTGATAGTTTAATTGATTGGGATTGCAGTTGTATCTTGATGTTATTCTCTGTGGTTTTCTTTTAGTTTTCTGTCACTTCCGCTGTCTACTAAGGCCCTTATCTTAGAGCATTATTTCTTATTGTTTTCCAGACACTGTTTCTGAGTCATCTGTGGCTGCCTCCTAACTCAGCCACTAGCTGTAAGCATAGTCTTAGCGACTGTGAAAATAAATAATTTCCTGATTTGTGGAGATTGCTGTGCTTCTTGATCATGTTTTGCAGGTTGTGTCTCTGCCAAAGAGTCGTGTCTGTCATTTAGAGCAGGTTGATAAAGTTAATTTTACTTTAGAAAGATGTCAGGTAGCGTAAGCCACAGATTAAGAGGCACAGCAAACCTCTTAGTGACAGCCTCAGCCTAGCACCTCAGCAAAATAAGTTAAAGCCGCACTGACACCAACAACTGAATTATTGGGGCAATAACCAAGACATTCCTTTAGACCACAGAGTAACAACAGTTAGAGATCGGGCTGCATCTATGATTGGACAACAGAAATAAAGAGAGATAACAGGAAAAGTCTGGCCCAATAGTCGGCTCGTCCAATCATCAATTGATGGTCGGCTCGTCCAATCATCAATTGATCCCTACTGACCAGTACATATACTTATGACATGCACATTTAGATTTATGCTTCATAATGTTTACTAATGCTGTTTTCTGTCTCTGTCAGCTCAATCATGGGAGACACCGACCACTACAAGCAATCAGAGTCCAAACCCCAACAACCCAGCAGAGTACTGCTCCACCATCCCCCCACTGCAGCAGGCTCAGGCCTCTGGGGTGCTCAGCTCCCCCCCTCCCACTGTCATGGTGCCCGTAGGAGTCCTGAAACAACCTGGCAACGAGGGTACGACCTTTACCAAGAACAAAAATACTCTTACAAATCTAATTTTCACCTTTGGCCGTGTCATCCTGTCCTCAGCCACTTTAAAGTAGTACTTTTTATCGCTAGTTCGGACTTAAAAACACTGTTTCAGTGCGTCTGTATGAGTGTTGTGGGGAGTTCAAACAAAACCTTGAGGTAAAATGTAATTTTGTGTTTAGGGTCGCTCTCGCGGGAGCAGAGGAGGGTGTGGTTCGCTGATGGAGTTCTGCCTAACGGAGACACGGCAGAATCACCCAAACCTGCGACCTCCAGCGCTACCCCCTCTCAGTCGCTGGCCATCTCCACGTATTCAAATAAATCCTCCTCTTCTGAGGCCTCAGAGGTAGGCTTGGCACGCCAAACATTCAGCCTCAACTAATGCTATTAGATTAGCTTGTATGGTCCTCTGTGACTCACTTGAGGAAGCCACAAGGAACTCTTTCTGTGCAATTCTTGGTGGTTTAGTGGTCGTGTCTCAGACTGTGACAAATAGGCAGTTAACAAAGTTTTAAAGACACATTCCTGGTTGCATGATCAGAATTAGAAATCCCTGTGGATTTACATGCATAAAGCTGGAATGCAGTCGCTATAAGCCAACTTACTGTATGTGAATAATATGTTAAAGTTTGCCTCACAACAACAAATTACAGAAGAGCAAGTTGGAGTTGGTTGTTTCTGTGGTGGCGGTGTGTACTCATTGAATGTCAGCTGTCAGAATGATTCACGGCCTGTTGAACACAGTGTTTGTTTAAATCTCAGATGGCCTGATTATGCTTTGCAGACAGAGCATGAGCAGAAAATCAGACTTTCACATGTGACAGTCAGCGTGACAGTTCTACTCTTGATGAATTCTTCTCAGGAGAAGATGAGTCCTTTTAGTTCACCAGAAGAACGTGTAAAGACATCAATTTACAGGGGCTCCCGCTGTCCTTTTCCTGCTGTTTTCATAGCACCTTCCAGTGTATCAAATAAAAGTAGCTTAAAGGCAAAGGTGAGGGAACATTGAGTTCAGGCCAGGAGAAATAATAAATGGGCATCAGTTTTACATTTTACTAGTCACAGAGTGTACCACTGAGCTCACAGTTGCATGATGTCTGGTGCTGCTATGGGGAGAAAACCTGCCAAAATTACCTGTATTTTTTGATTAATTTCTAACAAACTGCTCATGTGGATTTAGAAAGAGGTTTGGTAGGCAGGTAGTGTTAAAAGAAAAGATTCCATCAAAGAGTTTCACTTGTTCTAGGGCTTGACATCAGGATATCTATCATCTGCAGTATCGATGTTGATTAAGAATCTTTTGAAGTGTCCCAACTTTACAAATGTCAGCTTAATTGTTTTCTGGGGAATAGGGGACAATGCCCACATTGTAAAAACGACATTGACTAACTATCACCTTTTAAAGTTGAGAGGTGAATGTGTGAGCAAACAGTTGCCTGTTTGTACATCCAGCAGACACGGAGCAACATTAGTATTCATTAGGAGTTGTGTTTCTGTCCACCTAATGAATGTAAGTCTAATTTTCACTCTCTTTAGCTGGTTTTTGTCCTTTTTAAGTCCTGAGGGAAGTACAAACAAGTGATAAATTAAAGCAAATGCCTCAACCCTTGCCCCCCCTGCACTGTGAGGGCCTCTGTTATTCTGTCGGGGGCATTTTGCTGGCATAGTTTAGGACCATTTGTTCCCTTTGAGAAAAGGGTCACAGCAAATCAATACAGAGTTGTTCTGAGTGATCACCTTTATCCTATGATGAAACACTTCTATCCCAGTGAGAGTGGTCTCTTCCAGGATGACTGTGCATCCATTCAAAGGGCACAAGGTTCACTGAAGGGTTTGATAAAAATCAATCATACACTTTAACTGAACAAATATTACTGCTTCTAACCAAGAAGCTGGTTTGTGTTGTTTCAGATACAGATACAGTTTGATAAGCATAAAATAACCCTTCACATGCACACATGATTCGGCTCTGTAATGTTGTTGTACCATTTAGTAATTAAACTGAGTCAGTTCAGTAAACAATTGCATGTAAATGTGTATACATTCAGCATGATAGAGATTGTAGCTGGAACATGAAAAATATAAATAAATGAAACACTTGCAAAGTAGACAAAAACCTAAAACTTGCAAAAAACAATAAATAAACAAGCAAACTATACATAATATGCGATCAGTACAAAACTTGAATATGAGTGCTGTCTATTTTGTTACAAATAATTGCCTTAAAGCAGAACATTTCTGATCAAAGCCTCTTGTGGAATAGGGAATTCTCTCTAATTTCCAGTGATGTAGAAGATCTTTACCCCATATCTTAACCACCACGTTATTGTTTTTATCCTTTTATATTTACATTATTTTGAAGAACCCTGTTGAGACAGTAGATTTGTAGAGGCACCTGTCTCATATGAGGCCCAGCCCTTAAGTGCACATTTCACTGTGATTATAGGTGCTTCTGGCCAGACTACTAATTATTATTATAGGGTTACTCCATCTTAAATCATCAGGTGTCTTTTTTTCAACCATCTCTGATTGTTTGAAGCGTTTTTTACGAACCGTGGACATTTAAAATGCCATCTGTGAAATTTTACATTGACATCAGTACTTTCAGAGATTAAAAACATGGAAGCAATGGCCCTACAACCCTCGTTTAGCACATTTTTTTTCATGCATTAAATGTTGAGGCTGTGCTTGGATGACAATATCTCAGGAATTATTATAGATTAAAGCTTGAAATTACAGTTATTTCTCATCATGGCGTTGAAATAATGTCTGAATGTGGGTGAGGTAACATTATCAATATATGATGTCCAAAGTGACCAAACCGACTGACCAATGTTATATGTCTGTAACCAAAAATATTTAGTCGTCATGAAAAGTTTCGTCTTTGAGTACACATTACATAAACTGATAATGCATAAGTCAGCTGGTCATATTTGCATGTTGCATGTCACAACAATAATAAAACAAAAAAACACATTAAGTACTTTTCAATTTCAAATACTTGGTCACAAAAGGGAAAAGTGTTAATTTTGTCGAACTTTTATAAATGATTAGGCCGTTATGACAACTTGTCCCACACAAACTAAAAGGTGGATCCAACATAGCCTCAAATTTCGATGTGCTGAAAGTGGCAACTTTTAAAAACAATTATTAAATGTACAGATTTTTACAAAAATCTTTATAATTCTACATATGTATGCGATAAAAATTCAGGCAAATTGTGGCTGGTCGAGCAGAAATTGTTCTAAAAAAATCAGATGATTCTGCGAGGAGTCACAGCCCACATGTACTGACGCTGAATTTTTACATTTCCCTGTGTGCTATAACCTGCAGTACATCTAACTCCACATCTCCACCCTCAGGCAGCCCATACCCCAGTTGCCCCGGTGGGCAGCCCTGTGGGCAGCTCCCTCAGTCTGATCCCGGAGGACGGGCTCCCTCCCATCCTCATCTCCACCGGAGTCAAAGGAGGTACGGGAGGCCACATCACAGGTGCTTGCCCTCATCCTCACCATTCTGCTGCCTGCTCATTGCTCCGTCAGCTGCCGTGTTTGTGCTTGTTAATTGTGTTTCTTGTGCTTTATATCACCGCTCATGTTTCATTGCCAAGAAGAGAGGGGTAAGATTTGTATGTGGGAGCGTTGTGATGATGTTTAAACGGGTGGGAGGGCTTCTAGCTGCTTAACTCGACTTGGTCGTCATTTTGATGTCTGGCTTCACTTATAGTATAAATCCTTCACCATCTCCAACACTCCCTTCCTCCTCAATTGTCATTCTGTCATCTCCACTCTCTCATCCTCGGTTCTTCTTATTATCTAACTTTTCCTTGACTCCTTCCTCTGTCTGTCTCCTTTTCTTCTTGTTCTCCTTGCTCTCCACCTCCTTCTCCTTCTTTTCCTTCTTCTCCTCCTTCCTGCCTTTCTTCTTTCCCTTCTTCTTGTTCTCTTTCCTATTCTCCTTCCTCTTCTTCCTCCTTTCCTCATTCTTCTTTGTCTCCTCCGCCTCCTCCTCTTCCTCCTCCCGCCTTCTTCTTCTTCTTCTTCTGCTTCACCCCAACTCACTTACAGATTACGCAGTGGAGGAGAGGCCTTCGGAAATCGTCCTCATGCAGCAGTTGGAGGAAGGAGGTCCAGACCCGCTGGTGTTCGTGCTCAACGCTAACCTGCTCGCCATGGTCAAGCTCGTTAATTGTGAGTTACATTTAAAGCACTGATTTGGATGCATGTTTGGAGGAACAGCAGCGAGTGTGCAGACCTGCTTCGAAATTCATAATTTAATGATGACATAAGGGAAACTGTAAAATACATATTTGCAAAATGTGCATTTTTAATCATGCCTGATTTAGCCTGCGGAGTTCTTCGTTGCCCCCTTTTCAGATGTAGACTGTGTAACACTGTTTGGTGAACCTTTGTGTTTAAGTAGTAACAGCTTTGCTATAAGACTTAAATATTACACAAATATACATTATGCAATATTCAGACCTGACAAGAACATTACAGAAACAGCTGCAAAGCTCAGACAGTGTTTGGTAGTTAGTGTGCCATTAAATACTAGTAGTTAGAATGTCTGTTTGTGCAGATTTAACCTTGTGCTTGTGCTGTCTTTATCGTAATCTGAAAGCATTCGATTTAGCCTTGTGTTAAAATCTTATCAAGATGTCGTTGAGTCCAGTCAGTTGTTACTTTCATTACTTTTATATTTCCTTAGAGTTGCCACACTTGGTGTTGATTTGACTTATAATATAATAATAATGACCTTATTTCTATAGCACTTTTTAAAAGCAGAGTTACAAAGTGCTTAACAGAAAGTACAGAGAAATGGAGGATACTCAGGAAAGCATTGTAGCATCTGCTCTCATCAGCTGAATACATCCTCGATATGTGGACGACACATCAAACAGATTTTTTAGCATTAGAAGCTGAAAATTAGGTTTGCTCTGTTTACTCTACACGTCGACTCGGTCACTTGTCAGTGTTGACTGCTATGCACCAAAACAAGTCAAACTACTTGTGTAAAAATATACTTGATTCACATTCTGCTTAAGTAAGGCTGTTGATGTGACATTTAAGTAAAAGTTACTAGTCACTGTTCATGCAAGATCCGTATCACTTAAGAGGCTCATGTGACGTTAATGCCTCTGTTGTAACTCAGTAATAAGTTTTCTGCTCTTTCAACCCTCAGACGTAAACCGGAAGTGCTGGTATGTGACGACGAAGGGCATGCACGCTGTCGGCCAGGCGGAGGTCGTCATTCTGCTCCAGTGTCTCCCTGACGAGAAGACCATCCCCAAAGACATCTTTACCCACTTCGTGCAGCTCTACCAGGAGGCCCTCAGTGGTAAGAGTGACACCAGCAGCTCCACGAGGAAGCTCACTGTGAATTTAGTCCACCTCCACCGTGGGCCCAGTCTTGAGGGAGGTAGCAGCTCATTAGTAGTTCTGTCTGCAGGTCTGGAGGTGAGCTCACCTGTCTCTGCCCGGTAAAAAAAAAAAAAAAGAGCAAACGCTAAGTAATGTAGAATAACGCAAGGGGAAAATGTTTGAGCTCTAGTTTTTGTTCCACAGAGGATACAGACGCACCTTGTCGAGCTCCATTTAAAAACCAGGTTACTGCCCACCGCTGCTGTGTCTGTTTTATGAAAAATGGTCCCAACATCAGCGTCCTGCTGTCAGGTTGCCTCCCTCCAGGCGTGACACCTCACCGCCGCTTGTCTTGCGTTTTTAACTCCGTATGCTGCAGAGCAAAAACGGATAATATCGTCTGACTTTGACGACTCGCTCCCCTCGGGCTGTTTCCTTTTTCATATTCGCACCGGAGCAGTTTCAGGCTGCTGGAAAGGAGCCATGTTGTGCGCGTCGCTCCCGATTAAGTCGGCGTCAGTCAGGCCTCGGGAAGAAGTGCTGGCTTTAGCAAGTCCCATCCGCTGAGCTTTTTTTCTTGTCATTAGGGTTATTGTGTTGTGTGCTATCTGAAGCCATTGATTCCTCCGGCAGATAATTAGAAACATGAACCGTGTGTGGGTAATATGAGCTTGTAGAGCGAGCAGGCGAGTGTTTATTCACTGTTGAACTTAATACAGACGAAGCAAGACACTGAGTAATCCCAGTTTTTCATATCTATCTAATTTTTTTAGCAGATGAGGACTCAACGTTCTCTTTGCTGCATTTTATTCTATTGCACCTGTACAAATATTACATTACTCTTCTTTTTTCCCCGACTTCTCCTTCGCTATGCGTCTCCTCTCAGATTTCACCAACCCTCCTTGCATCACCTGTATCACTAACCTTTCTCTCCTCCTTCGTCTTTAAGGCAACGTGCTGAGCCACCTGAGTCACTCGTTCTTCACGCAGAGCTTCCTGGGCAGCAAGGAGCACGGCGGCTTCCTTTACATCAGCCCCTCCTTCCAGTCGCTGCAGGACCTGCTGCTGCCCAACCCGCCCTACCTCTTTGGCATCCTCATCCAAAAGTGGGAGACGCCCTGGGCCAAGGTCTTCCCCATCCGCCTCATGCTGCGACTGGGAGCAGAGTACCGATGTAAGTGCAGAGGAACACCAGGCTACCTGCTGTGTGGTCATAGTGATTAATTAATAACGATGATGTGATTGTGGTGATTTAATGTCATTCAAATGTGTTGCCAAAGGGTCGGATGAAATGTCGTACAGAACACGATTAGAGAACATGCTGGCAGTGTTTCTGTTGGCTGACAGAGGCCTCATCCACAAAGTCAGAACTGCACGGAGCAACTGTTTGTCAGATTTGACTGCAGTGGGTCAGTGGGAAAATAAAAAAACAAAGGTTATCTCAGAAAATATTCAATATATTAAGGGACAATTTCACAGATATATTTATAAATACCACTTTTTTATGCTATAAAGATTTCAAACAAATCAGAGATGGTCAAGCAGAAGGCCACGGATGACTTGTGACGGAAGAACCCATGTATGAAAACTCGCCCACTGACCAATTAGACTCTTGGAACATAGCATTAGCATTCGCAGAAGGTCCCATTGAGCCTGCTGTGCGGATACTGAGAGGGGAAGGATCCATCCAAAAAGACTTTCCCTGACGAGCAGAGATCTGAGAGATGTGGATTCCCAGCGGAGAGAACTCCTCTTTTCTGTATTTTTTGTTCCTGTTGACTACAAGCCATTTCAAAGTTGTTTCATTGTTCTTCAGGCCTTTGTGCAGCCATTTGATCCTAAAACAGAGACTGATTAAAGCTCTAAAGCCTTGTACTTGTTGACATTTATAAGATTTGCAAGTATAAGCCTTCTTCAATGTTTCAGCGATGTTTTTTCATTTGTTCTTTATTTGCTCCCAAGACTGTTTAACATCATCACCGGGGCTGCACCTGCAAGACTTAAGCTAAAACTGTCTTATATACACCACAAAAATCCATCTGCAACACATTTATTTAATGGAATGCACAATTGTATTTATGTTCAGATCTACTCATGTGGCAGTGATGTTGATAAGCCGATTAACTTCACAGTTTGTTTTTTTGCCACCTTTCCTTCCTGGCTTTGGCTGCAGCAACTGTGTTACTTTTAGTTAAGTGTTATTTATTTGCAGTCCACATTGGTTTAGAATAATAGTTTGTGATAAATATGCAGCTCTCGAACTGTCCATGTTGCAGTTGATCACCTGGTGCCGCCTCTTTTATGTGAATGCCCCTGTGGCTAGATTCAGAAACCCAAGTTTAGTTAACCAGCTTCGTGTAACCGCTTTGCCTGACTGTGGTGGTTAGGTTTAATGAAACCAGATAAAAAAAAAAAAGACATCATGGGCATGTTGAACTTGCTTCATAGTACAGGCTTGTTAAGTGAATGGCAGATTGGGCAACTTTTTGAAGGATGGAAGTGAAATTAACTGTGCATCCACCTGGAGGCTGACTTATATTGAACATGTAGAGAGTAAGTTTACTCAGAAATAAAAATAAAAGAAGGACCAGCCCAGTCTAAAGCTTGGACCAAAACAACACCAAGTTTACATGGCGACGTTATTCCAAATGGTGTGACTATCCTCTGACGGCTTCTTATGGTAAAATTTTTCTATCCAGATTGATCTGGAGAGCTTAACGCGTCAGTTGTCAGAGGAATCCTGTCGACATCACACCAGCCTTCCTTTTGCACATTTCTTTCTCACAGCTTCCACATGAACCAGGAAGTCTTGTGAGGGGTTTTATCGGAGAGGCTCCTTCCCACCAAATCCTCTCCTCTTACAGCCAGACCTGCCAGCACAGAGCGCCGCCTGGCTCCGTTAAGCCTCTTGCCTGCATCCGGCAAGCACGGATAGAATATATTAACAAAGCCATGTACAGTCGAAGCTCTTAAACACCAAATGTTAGAGTCGCCGTGAAATTAATCCACCTCACAAATGGTGTTCTTCTCCATGCCTGCACCTCTTACCTTCAGGGCTGACCGGCAGAAGGCCGGGAGGCTCGTCAGCACACGGTTCCCTGCTGAACTGCAGATTGAGGCTGAGATTTTTTTTATTTATTTATTTATTTTTATTGCTAATGAGAGTTTGTAGCGAGATCTTATTTCCAGCTGTTTGCTGAGATAAGGCTAAAAATAGTCATCTAAGAAGCTTTGGTTGCAGAGAAAAAAGCAGCCTTATTTTTCACTTGTGGATTAGGAGCGTTCCTCCGTACTGCAGGCACAATTCACTGTATTTGATGTGTGGTCTCTTGTTCAGTTCATTTGCATTTGTGAATGAAGAGGAGCAAAAAGCGGAGGTTGTGCAGTTGATAAAAACAGGAAAAGACCTGGAAAATCCTGACCCTACACAATGAGGAAGCACTAGTGACATAATCTAATAACAGCAAACACCGAAACTATTTCTAAATTGACATTATTCAACCTAATATATTTAATAAACATCCATGAAAACTTGATGAAGGTTAACACATTCCTTTTGTGCATTTACTAATCACTAAACTTCTTGTTTTGCAGTTTATCCATGTCCACTGTTCAGCGTTCGCTTCAGGAAACCCCTTTTTGGAGAGACCGGTCACACTATCATGAATCTGCTTGCTGTAAGTGCTTTGATTTCCTCTTCATGCGCTTTATTGTTATTTATTTTCAAGGTCGAGAGACTCTGCTGTACGCTGTGGAAGTATAACATTTGGCTGAAATTCAGTTTCTGACATTTAAACACATCCTGTCTGCATTGAGAGGGTTTTGTTAAACAGGGATGTAGCTTTTTCAAGGGCCCTCATTAGAGTGTTTTGTAGAGCTGGGTTAATTTTTCACTCTCTTCTCTGCACATCCCTGCTGCAGGACTTCCGTAACTACCAGTACACGCTGCCGGTGGTGAAAGGTCTGGTTGTGGACATGGAGGTGAGGAAGACGAGCATCAAGATCCCCAGTAATCGCTACAATGAGGTGAGCATCCAGCTTTTTTTTTTCTATGATAACATCATAAGCCAGTTTAAAAAAAACAAAAAGGTTACTGTCACCCCTGTAGTTCAGATCACTTAGTCTGGTCCAAAGCAAAAAGTTCTGTTTGGTGTTTTAGTCCTGGTCTGGTTGTTGTTCTGACTGGTAAACTGCTCTATAGGTTTTTGTTATGTGTAAAGAGCTCAATGGGGGGAAAAAAATGATCAGAAGCCTTTTCAGTTTAATTTGTGCTTGAGGATAATATTCAGTTTTTGCAGGAGTGTTGTAAAGTACCTTGATGTATTTTTCTGATATTTAAATTATATTGCACAAAAAATTGAAATATTACCATATTATGAAACTAATATTGCACAAACTATTGAGAAGGTGATATTAGGACGGACTTATTGTGCAGATTTAAGTGTCCGATGTTTCTTCTCTTCTTCCTGCAGAAGAGGGAGGATAGTTTCTTGAGCATTTTATCCGTATTTTTAACTGTTAGCTGCAGCCAATAACTATTTAGATTGTCATGTGACATAAGCTGCGCCACTGACTGGACTCAAAGCAGTTTCATCTGGACATGGAACGATGTCCACCGAGTTCATTTTTTGTTACTGATAAATTGATTAATGATTGATAACACTGCTGACTGTCAGTTAAGACGATTGGGGAAGATTTTTGTTCTACATTTGCTGTGTATGATGTGCAAGCCTGTTTCCATAGTTACCAAACAACCCCATATTTCTGCACTGCTTCTGCACCAGAGTCGGTTGTTGAGTTCACACCAAAGTTTGATCGACTTGCCAGTGTTTGTTTTAACCCTCCAAGCAACTCACGAGCGCTGCTATCACAGCAGTTTGCCTATCCAAACACAAACATAACAACAACACAAAATAACTCAGCAAACGCATTGTTTTATAGTAATTTAATGTAGGCTCGTAGCAAGCCATTGTTATCTTTGTTTTATGACAATGTTAGTGATGTGTGGATATTACTGTGAACCAGAGGATGCAGAACTGATACAATGGTGATCTGTCAATCACAAGGTAGCCCCGCCATTAAACATGCCCTGCTTTATCATCTGCTTTACTCTAAATGGGACCATAACTTACTAAATGACATCATTCTGTATTCAAAAAGTCTTACCAGTAGCGACTGAAACCACAAACTCATTAGAAAAACGTGAGAAATGGCATCATTCTCTTATAGTTTTCTATAGAATCACACTTCTCGAAAACAGAGGAGCTGCCATCAACACATGTTCGTTCTGTGTAGGTGATATATGACAGACCCCCCTCTGCAGCTGAAGTTAAGCGTAGGCTGCCCACTTGTTAAAACGCTGCTGCCTCGAGGGTGTGAATGAACGTCCGAGCAGAAGAAGTGATACACACCGAGCACCATTTGGCTGAGAAAGAAAGCGGCGGAGGAGAGAGTGGTGTTGGTTGTAGCGTTTGGCTGCTGATGCAGTAACAGATGGGAACCCAGTAATGTGAAGTGGGGACTGTTACTCAACAGCTTGCAAGCGAGTCTTTAGCGCAGCAAGTGGTTAAAGCCCTCCAGATTTTCAGTTTTATTTCTGATTTGCAAAGGACGGCTTCAGAGAGGCACAGAGGCAGGGGATTTAGCCGAATTAATATGTGGGATCTTTCAACTATTGATATCCACCCGTGTCACTGTCTTTTGCTGCAATCTGTCATCGCAGCGCCGTCCCGTTCAAACTGAGGACTTTACCCACAAGCCCGCCGCAATTAGGCTTAACCAGACAGGCTCTCTTAAGCCCATTTTCCCCAGCACACACCCAAAGGGCTGCTTAATTAGTCATGCATATCATTTGTCCTTGCAGCTGATGAAGGCCATGAACAAGTCCAACGAACACGTGCTCGCCATGGGGGCGTGTTTCAACGACCGCGCCGACTCCCACTTGGTGTGCGTCCAGAACGATGACGGGAACTACCAGACGCAGGCCATCAGCATCCATCACCAGCCACGCAAAGGTGCTGACACAGAAGCACTCATCAGATTTAAAACTTCCTTCATCTCTCAGCGTGTCTGGGTGTTATGTCCAGCTTGTTGTCTGGAAAACTGTTTTCCTGGAAATCCTCCTCCTGACTGTGTGTCTGTTATTGTTTGTCTTGTGTGTTTGCCTGAAAATAACAAAACCTCAGTGGTTGCTTTGTGAATTTTAACTGGAATTGTGATTAATTTTTTCTCTCTCTTCTGTGTTTTTTTTTTATCAGTTACTGGAGCCTGCTTTTTTGTGTTCAGTGGTGCTTTGAAAGCCTCGTCTGGCTTCTTAGCCAAGACCAGCATTGTGGAAGGTGAGAACTGCGACAACAAACTGCATGTTGGCTGGAAAAATGCTGAAATATTAGTTTTGTTTATTTGTTGCCTCACGAGGTTCACGTTGCCTCCAAAGAGTCATGCCCATGCAGGCAAAAACTCATAATTAATGCTGCAGCTAGAGGTTGTAGTTGAAGATATGAGGATATATATATATATATATATATATACACACACACACACACAC